ATTTATATATAGATATATTATTTAAGCTATATTAATAAGTAATTAGTCTACTCGCTTCGTATAACTATTTTAAGCGAGAGTATATAGTATACTTCTTTTACTCGACGAGATATCTAATCTATACGCGTTATTAAAGTTTATCTTTCTATAGAATATTATACTATAATATATAGACTTTATAGCCGTATACGTATATATACGAGATATTAGGTTATCGTCCGTATAGTATTTCGAACGGCGTCTTCTAGCTAAGCGTATAAGTCGATAATCGATTTAGAATATATTCTACGATTTTTATTATCTTAGACTATAGATTCTTTAGTAGGTTTATATATAGACGTATTATTCGAGCTATATTAATAAGTAATCGGTCTACTCACTCTATATAACCGTTTTAAGCGAAAGTATATAGTATATTTCGTTTAGTTATTAGATCTCTATCTCGTACGTCGTTATCGTAGATCTTCGATAGCGATCTTTCTCTATCTATCCTAATAAACTTAACGTTATAGCTATATCTCGTATAAATTATATTTATAAAGTCTTAAACTATTTAGAATAATTAATACTTTCGTAGATATATATAGACGAAATATATTCCCGTATAGTAATCTTTAAAATAGCTAATCTATTTATCTCCGTTATAGACTATATTAAGTAGTATTAAGTCGTACGAGACTCTATTAAATAGTCTCGTTACTAATTCTTCTTATAATAAGTCTCGAGAGATAATCTAGGTTACTTTTAATAATCGATAAGACTCGTATTAAATAGAAATAATAGTCTTAATCTTTAGAAGTCCGGTTACTATATCTAGTAGATACCGAAGCGCTTTATATCTAGCGTAGTCTATAACGGCGTATAGTCTGTCTAGGGAGTTCTCGTAGGGAGGCTTACCCTCTTAAGCTACGGTAGCGGTAGTAACGGGAGCCTATCTTATCGGCGCTAACGCTACGCTAGGAGCCGCCCGTATATAGAGTATTACGAGAGGAGCTAGCGGCCTCGTAATAAAAGCTTCTCTAACTAATCCCGACGCTATAACGTTAGGAGTAGCCTTTAGGGTTATTAAAGAAGAAGTGGATAGAGAGTCGGATATATATAGTTATTGAGACGCTAAGATAAGGTCGTTAGATAGTACTTAATAACCGTCTTTTCTTCGTACGTAGTATAAATACTCGTTATTTAGTATTAAGGCTCCGTCTAGTATATTCTAGTTAATATTCTTATTATATAAGTGAGAGAGCGATACTAGATTTATTATAAACTCTAGAATAAGAGCGACGTCGAGTAGTATAAGTCTCTTAACTCCGTTTTTAATAAATACGTATAGTTTAACGCTTCTAAATACTTTAATAGAATATCGATTTATCCCTATAATAAGAATATCGATTTCGGTCGCTTCTCTAGTTCTTATAAAGTTCTCTAGCTTATTATATATATATATATCGGATCCGGAGTCGAGTATCTAGTAATTCTTTAACTTATAATCGGTTACGGTAGTATATAAATACGCGATAAATACTTCGAGTATTAGTTCTCCTTATTATTATTAATTATTCTTACTCTTTCTCTTATTCTTATTAATAAGTTGTTTAATACGCTTATATAAGGCCTTATCGTTATTTAACTTAGTCTATACTTTATAATTAACTTTAGAGTTTAGAGCCTAATTATTCGGTCGTTTTAAAGAGTTTAGATAATAGTACTCGTTATAGAAGTATTTATATCTATAAATATACTTAGGTTTCTTCTATTACTTCTTTTCTTCTTTTAATATACTAAACGCTAAGTATATTACTACTTTCGCTATTAATTTCTTCGAATTACGATATATATCTTTAATTATATTAACGAGGTCGTATAATAATATATATTCTATTTCTTTTCGATTATAGAACTTAGTAAGTTCTAGACCTACTATACTCGAATATAGAGATTATATAGTAGTAAGGAAGTTAATTTATACTACGTCTTCTATAGCTTCTATTATATATAGAGCCTTATACTACTTATATAGAAACTTCTATTAATAGAACTATATCTCTAAGTCTTTACTTCGTAGTACTTATTTTAAAGTATACTACTTACTCGCGAGACTTTATCTCTTTATTACGTCTAAGGGTTCTAGACGGTCTCTTAGTACCTTTAGCCGACGATAGAGCGTAGACTTATCTTCGTAATATAGGTAGTTAGATAGAGATATCGTTCTATTAAATCGATTATTAAGGCGTTAGATTAGGGTAGTCTATTATCGATATAGCTCTAATTAACGTTAGTAGTCTCTATCTTTCCTATCTAGCGCCTATTTCTTCTTCTAGATAAGAGTATTCGATTCGGTATAGGGAGATAGTTTAGGCGGCCTTAGTAATAGAATCGGTTCGAGTTAGGAGAGGTCGATATACTACTATAATCCGTTAGTTTATACTTTACTTTTAAAGGCTCTATACTAGTTATTCTAGTTATCGAGAGTACTTAGAATAGGAGTAGTTCTAACGAAGATAGTAAAAGAGCGAATCGACTTCTTATAGTATACTACTATTATTTCGATTACGGTAGAGAATAATTCTATTAATACTATTAATTAGTTCTTATATTAAAGTATAAGTATTACGAATAAATATATTCGATTATTAGTCGTTCGTAGAGTAGTTAGTTATAAACCGAGCTTATAACTATTAGTAGATACGCTAAAATTATTATATTTACTCTCGCTCTATCTACTTAATAGTATATAGAGTAGTTTTATATATATTATAGAAATCGGAGAGAATACCGTATCTCGTACGGTCTATAGATTATTCTAGAGAGTGGTAAACCTCGTCGTCGACGTCGTTATCGAGCGTTATTTAGGGTCGGTAGCGAGATTTAGGAATTGCAGCTAACGTAAGTGTTCCTTGGCAGTGGGGCATCGGAGCCGACTGTGTACAACAGAACTCTATCGAGACTAGCGAATCCGGCTTAGTTAAGC